GATCAGCATCCGTGACCGTATGGAGTTCGCCTCACAGTGCGCCGGCCGCGGCAGCGAGCGAGGCCCGCTTCCTCCGGTCTTGTCCTCTCATCAGTACAATTTCATCGCAGGTATAAAAAACATATATCGATCAGAACCATGGGAATCATGTTGCAATTAAGGCATGCATACTTTACTCGCTCGGTTCCCCACGTGTCAAAATTTTAATCGGGTTGAATTCTAAATCGGGCCGCTAGAATTGGCGAATGAGATTACAATTTTAATCGGGTTGAATTCAAAATTTTATCACAATTTTCATATTTTTTTTTTGCAGGCAATCTCGGCATGCTCATCCGCTCCACCCTGATAACCTCGCTCTACATTAGAAGGCCTAAAGTCTCTGCCTGCTCCTCCCGCCAGCACGCACGGCGTCGCAGTTGATTCGTGGAGACTTAACTTGGGATGCCATGGCGCGTCGAGCGCCCAGCAGCTCGCTGACGTTCATGACCGCCAGGTGCATCTTCTCTGGCGTGATGCGATGCAGGTGGGCGGTGCGCGCTGCGCTGCTGTAAGTGTACCTTGGGGGTGGCTTATGTGCGGCGGCGGTCGCACGGGATCGTCGTGATGAATGGGGGTGGTGACGGTGGTGACGAAGAAGAGCAATGCGTATCAGTTCTTGCTGATGGGGATGAGGGATAGGAGGATGAAGGCCGTCAACGAGATGCTTAATTATATGAGGGTCATCAAGTTTCAGGTAACTGAAAATTCCATTCTTTTTGTTTTCTTCTTCAGATAATCCCCCCCTTGTTTACACCTTCACTTTTACTAAGGGCCTGTTCGGTTTGCTCAAAAAAATGAGAAAACACCCGCCACCTCACATTTTAAGAAATTCCCCATGTGCCACATAGGTTTTTGGTTTCAAGAGTTTCCATTTCTTCAGTTCGGTTCGTTTTGAAATTTAGAGAAATGAAACGTCACGTAGGATGTCACATCACATTTTTAAGAAATGTGTTTTCACAACAAAAACCTCTGAAAACACTTGAAAATGCCAATTCAATGAATTTTTAATATTTAAAAGCACTATTGGAACAATGTATGGGAATTAAACAGATTATTTAAATGTTTCCATTTCTCTTTCCCTTTTTTTTGTTCAAACGAACACAAGAAATAGAAAACACATGCACTGTTACTATTGCGGCTTTTTTTGTCTCTTTATGTGACTTGGCGGTTTCAAGGGGTGATTTCTTTGCGAAACGAACACAAAAAATAAAATGTGGGAAAACTCTTGAAATGTCATGATATCAAATGAAATGTGACATTTCCATTTCTTGTTTTTTTCGGAAAACAACCGAACAGGCCCTAAGAGCATCTCCAAGAGTAATTTTAGGTTTCCCCTATATTTGAGGAGCAAATCTCTCATCATAAGAAATAAGGAGCCAAATAATGAGTAAGTGTTTTAACAATGCTTCCCAAAATGGCTCACTGTCTCATGTCCTAGACTAAATATCGGAAGTAGGAGAGGGGAAAAAGTTGTTTTAACAATGCTCTCTATGTTGAGACTAAATATAAGGAGTCACTTTGTTATCCTTGATTTGGAATACCAAATCATATTCCTTATATTTAGTCTCAAACATAGGTAGCCTGGAGCAACTTTTCTGCCTCATATTCCTTATATTTAGTCTAGAACATGAGATAGGGAGGCTGTTAGAGATGTTCTAACCTCAGCTATTTTATTGGCATTGTCATTAGCGAATCCATGATTTTCTGAAAAGTAGTGTAATTATATTGTTAATAATTAACAATTTTACAACCACCCTCAACAAGTTTTCATAAAAAAGTACATGATTGTACTGTTAGTAACACAATCTGCTTTTTTATTTATTTATTTCAATCTACATCATTAAACAATTATTGAGCCAACCACGTCTCTTTGGATAGTAACACTTATTAATCCGAAAGTAGTGTCAGGTGACACTACTTTATCAACAGTGGATTCACCCCCATTTTTACACTTAAGAGGGAGTTAAGGGGATGTTTGGATTTGTTTTTTGGATGAATAAAAGGGGGAAAGCTGCCAAAAAAGGGCAGCTTTTTGGCAGCTTTCCCCCAAAATCACTTCTATAAAATGTGATTTTGGGGGAAAGCTGTCAAAAAGCTGCTAATTTTGACAGCTTTCCCCTCTTTTACCCATCCAAAAAAGAGAACCAAACGGGGCCTAACTGCAAGTGTGTCCTTCTAAAAATTGTGAAAACAGGGGTTAAGATCTAGTAAATTAGACAGGGGTGATAAGTGAAAATATGGAGCGGGGGTTATGTGCAATTGACCATTTACACGCCCAACTAAAATCCAAAACCGGACAATAAACTTTAAAATAAGAGTGACACTACGGTCACACTCCCCACCACACCATGGGACACAACCCCCCTCACAGCTACAGTGGGCCCACTTTAGATTTTTTAAAAAAAATCTAAAGTGGGCCCGTGCACTGTAGCTGTGAGGGGGGTTGTGTCCCATGGTGTGGTGGGGAGTGTGACCGTAGTGTCACTCATCTAGAAGAGGGGGGAAATAGATCTACAGTTGATCATCTAAACATGCATGAGGAAATGCACTTATTATTATTATTATAAATAACCCAGTTCAGAGTCGAACCCAAGACCGTGGGAGCCATACTAGAACCTTCAAACCGTCCGAGTCACCCGCCATGTGTGAAGAAATGCACTTTGATGAGTTATCTTCTTTAAGCTTAAATTCAATATGCCAACTGATGTTTTAGGATCTACAAGCAACTCCTATATCATTAACTTAGAAGGTTGAGGACACTGGATGATAAAATTTTCTCAAATTTGTCAGAGCTCTGTGTTGCATTACCAATTGCTATTTGGAGGTGGAGTAGATTATAATGAAGACGGGAGAAACGAATCAAATCCTTGAGTGGAATTGGATGTATATTATTGTTTTAATTATATAGCTTGTTAAGTTTCAGCTGATGAGATTATTAAGGCATCCATCACTTTTATCCATACCATGTCCACCTCAACACTATGTGAAAAATTACATTAGCCTCTCCAAATTGCAAGTGTTAACACATGTCACTGTTGTTATACTGGTGAATTAATGAAATAAAATTGACAGAAAAAAAAAGAAAAAAGAAAAACACGTCAGTGTTGTTGATGATGAAATACTGGGCACCCCCTCCAAACAATAGTCTATGAAAGTTGAAAGCCCCTCTAAACAACAGTCTATGAAGTTGAAAGCTAGTCATCAATATATAACGTCACCAATCAATATTTTAGTACTAGCTTATTAGTATTAATGATTGATGCCTCACATGTTAAAGGAAAAAAAATATCCAACAGAGTCTGTTTAATTAATGGACAATTTATTGTCTAAACTAAGAAGAAATCTAAGTCAAGCACTCATTTTCGTGCCCTCAAGTTTTGCATTTGATTCGACAATAGACACTTTTCTAGAAACACTAGGTGTCCACTAAATACCATGCGGCGAAAAAGCAAGTGCCCTTTGAACAAATATTCAAATTTTCCGCATACGGGTAAGCATACGGGTAAACTATCTAATCTATCTTGTCCATTGGATATCCGCGGTCCAAAGTAGGAACTCATTTACAAATTCTAATACATTTGCATAGATTCAATGTTAGTAAAACAATTAAGGAGACAGAAATTCTGAGGCGTGAAACACTTTCCTTAAAGAAATATTTGCCCCCACTTGATATTCAAAGTTGCTTCGGGTTAATGCAAATTTTCTTCCCAGGATACAACAGAAAATGAAAATTCCAGTAAGCAAATCTGGAATTTTCCTTAATTCGTTGTGAAACAAGTTTGTAATATTGCAGATGTTTTTGCTAGAAAAGATTCAGAAAAATGAATTGTTAAAAGATATCTGAAAAGCATAAACTATTTATAGTTTTGAAAATGTGCTTCCAACAGTCACAACTTTTCAAAACACCCCTTAGAACAAACAGCCACTTTTCAACAGTCACTTGTCTTTTCATAATTTTTAAATTTCGAAATATTATTAAAAATAAAATATATTCAATATATAATTATATATATAAAAAATAGAACATTTAAGCGGCAGCGGCAAGCGTGCTAAGTGCGTCAAAATCGCGCATTATTCGCGCTACCCGCACGCGGGTTTAGAAGCCTACACTTTGATCCATTATTCAAAGCCCAATAAGCATTCAATGCTTTTAAACCTCTAAAAGAATGTTCAAAATTCCAATGTGGGACTATCTTGTTTTTTACAAACAAATACTAACATTCAATGATAGATAGTTCTGCCTAGTGAAAGCCTTTGTTCTCTAAATAGTCATGATTTGAGTCTGGTCGAGTTCATGTTCTACATATCAGGGCTCTACGCTTGTAGATTTGAATCTAATGAGAGCCAGGTGACGGAGACTAGAAATGAGGAACAACTTGATTCCACAAATTAACAAATTCACATGCGGAAGCTTGTTCTACTTGTGCTACTTAGAGATGGAAATCAAGGTCGTACTTATAGAGACAGAGGAAGATGGAAATAGTACGGTACATTAATCTCATTAAACGGTCACCAATATATCTTGTGTTCGTTTGGAGAACCGGATCGGATATCTAAGTTCACATTTGTAGCAAAGAAAATGCAAGCACCTAGAACTCTCTTTTCTAGTTTTGGATACTCACGCATCACTTTATATGAGAGAATCCTCTCATTATTCTTCTATGGGTGTGCGCACACACATATATTTTTTTTCTTTATTTTTCTCTCTTCAAAGAAAATTTCCTCAAGGACTCAAAATATGAGACTGAGACAAGTGAGGTGTCCCCTTCCTATTGGATAATGAGTTGGCCATCATTAATGATGGCCAACTCATTATCCAATATGAGGGGGACACCTCACTTGTCCCCCCTATTGGTCCCATATTTTGGGTGCCTGTAGCAAAGCTCCTCTTCAAATCACACGACCAAGAAAGCCTTCAGGAAGTGGAACGCGCAGGTGAAAAAGGGTGGATGTGGGCACACATGGGTCCTATGTATCCCCTATGGGTTAATGTGGCAGTCATGGCCCAGGCAAAATTTTCTGCTATTCTGCTTATTAATTGTGATGCTATTTGGGGAAAAAAAATCAGTCTCCAAGGAACCACATTAAGATCTTTTTTTGGTTTGCGTGCTTTGTGAAACGTGTATTCTGTCTACCTTCATGATGTGTAGATATACATACATGTCTTGACCCGTGGTCCTTGATGAGTATTATGCATGTATATATATGATGGAATATCTCTACGAATAATATTTACCTGAATATTCCGATATATTTCGATATGAAAAGTTGCTGTTCTCAAACCAAATAGCTCTTAGGTGATACTTGATTTGATTCGAGGAACATGCCAGTTATCTTCTAATAGAGATATTAGCTAGCATGTTTATTCAGCTTCATGAGTGTCTGGACCTCAGTCAAGTTATAGCGGACTGAGTTAAGTAAAAAAGAAAGAACTTGTTAGAACATCGTTCGGGGTGTAATGTTGTTCGTACAACATCTCTAGTTTGATAAATAACAAACTCTAATTTGTTATTGGTATGTTTGTGAGATGATATATTTTAATTAGGTATAAATAGGTATGAAGGAGTAACGGATCAAAATGATGCACAAGTCAACATAAACGTTGATTTTAGCCTTTGAACTATCTACGGTCACGAGGCACCATGGATGGTCGAGTCTAGCCATTGATGGACTACTGGAAACAATCATAGAAAT